TGCTAATTGTGATTTTGACAGTAACATTGTGAAATATTCTTACAATTTAAACTGCCCTTTTATATATTTTAAAATGTAATTGATTCCTGTGATGGCAACGCTGATTTTTTTTATTCCCGTTTTCACATGATCCTTCATACATCATTCTAATTTGTGGATTAGCAATTTGATGCTCATCCTTGCTGAATAAAAGTATTAATTTCCTTCAAAAGTGTTTTTGAACAGTAGTGTATACACATGTACAAACAATACACTTTAAACTTTGCAGCATAAATCTGAAACCCACATATCATCATGAAAAACAAAGTTAGTTGAAAGGTAAAGATATACCACTGGAGTGTAGAGACTGATTACCATTCTGAACTTCCTCACACTAGTTGAGATACAAAACAACGTTGCACTTGAGCACCGTCCAAGATGTTGACTTAACACAAAAGTGCTCACACACACCAAATCAGCCAAGCCAAAAGTAACACCTGCTCTTAAAGTAAATAGGACAAATGCTCATCCTCCTGCTTAAAAAATATTGAGAGAGAGAGAGAGCGAGAGAGAGACTCAGTGACCCCCACTCATACCCTGCAAACCTCTCTCTCTCATCCGGAGATTGATATTTCACAAACTCCGAGACGCACAGCCCAGAGCACAATGGCACAAATGTTTATAAAAGGTCCCGCCAATCAGCTGCTGTCAGATGGACTAAAAACAAACTGCTCTCCCCAGATTAGGGAGAGAGAAACAGCCCAAACATATTCTGTACATGGTGGAGTGAGCACACCCAGCACAGCAAGGCCGGGCGTGACATCCATTAATAAGAAATGTTTCTTCTGGAGCAAATCAGCATATTAAATTGATTTCTGAAGGATCATGTGAAACTGAAGACTGGAGTAATAATGCTGAAAATTCAGATTTTCCATCACAGGAATAAATTAGATTCTAAAATGTATTAAAAATAGAAAACAGTTATTTTAAATTGTAATAATATTTCACAAAAATACTACCATTTTTACTGTATTTTTTAATCAAATATACAGTATGCAGCCTTGGTTGGTGGTGGGAAAAAGCGGCAAGAAGAACATTAATAACAGCAGTGTATCAAAAGTAAAATGCAATACTCTCTCTCTTGCCCAAAAAGACATGGCACCTTAAAAAATATACCATGTGAATACTGAGATTCATCCTTGACAAGGTACAGACTGAGAAACCGGTGTCCATCAAAGCCATACAGAGTCATACAGACATCCTGGAGAAGTTTTATCACAAAATTAAGTAACTCTTTATTTTGATGGTCCACTTTTAGACATTCTACTAACTGAGTAACTACTTTGCAAAAACATGTCAACTAGCAGTCATTAGAGTATTAGTAGACTGTCTGCTTAATATCTAAAGCTTTATTGTAATGCTCCCCAACAGACATTCTACTGACTATACAGCAAGTAACTTAGTTTTCAACTACTGTGAACTTATTCCATTAACCCAAACCCTTACATTTAACTGTCAACACTGCATTGGCTCCCTATTAAACAGCGTATACATTTTAAAATATTGCTGTTTACCTACCTACAAAGAACTAAATGGTTCAGCTCCCCAGTACTTGAACAAGCTCTTAACGCAATATAGTCCTTCATGTCTATTGCAATCTCGATTCTGGCCAGTTGATAATACCTAGAATATCAAAATCAACTGCTGGTGGTAGATCCTTTTCTTATTTAGCACCTAAACTTTGGAACAGTCTCCCTAACATTGCCCAGAAAGCAGACCCAGTCTCTCAGTTCAAATCTAGACTAAAATCACACCTCTTTTACCTGGCATTCACATTATACATTTCTATTATTCAAATTAAAGGTTCTCTGAGCGATCCTGGGTGTTGACGTTCGGAATATTTTCAAACAAATCGGAGGCTAGCTAGACCCTCCCTCCCCTGCATCTCATCTCCTCCCCCTCCATTCCGTGCTTCCTGAAATAATTGTGAACGTGCATTTCTAGCTAATTATATCCTTGTGTGGGTTTGGCGAACATAAGCGTCAATTTAAAAAAAACAATTTAACGTTACCCACCTGTCCAGCAAAAACAGAGCAACCTGAATGTCGGACTGGAAGCCCTTCTGCCGCCGGAGTTCTCGCCATCGTTCAAAAGCTTTGCTACCGATGTAAATTCGGAACTTCGCACGTTCTTTATCCAACTCCTTCTTCTTTTTAATTTGTTCTTCAGAACGACGTCTCTTTGGTCGTGTGTCGGCCATTTTTCAAACTTCCCTCTGATGCTTCTATCTCCTTCACACACACACCCCCTTCATGTGCATGCGCACTAACTCCCCAGACCCACCCTCAAATACTTCTTGCCAGTGATTGGCTGGAACACTGTTTGTTAAGTTTCGTGGTCCGGGTGAGACATGATTGTTTTTGGAGCCTGTGGTGTCTACAGAGACCGAGTTTTTTTACAGTGTGTTTAGGGGACAGGCAGCTAGCCGATAGTGGAGACGTTTGATGTATGTGACAAAAAATGATTTGGCCCCACATCGCTAAGAGAACCTTTAATTTAATGATTATTATGCTGCATACCGGTAGATTAGGTCAGCGGGAACCGGAGACACTTCCTAAAACACCTGATGTACTCGTTACATCATAAGAAAAACGGCATGTACGCTAATGTAAGTCTTTCCATTTATTCCGAGGTTTACTGAAGTCAGCCGGATCCGGGCCGTATCCAGATCAGACGGTGAACCTGCACCTGGACACGACCACAACGCATCCCTGAAGTGCCAGCCTCATCAGCCCTGTGAAGGCCTCATCATGGACACCACAACAAACTCGTCTCCATATACCGGTGTGATGACCTCCATAAATATTGAGAATGATCTGATCTAATCCGACTTCTTCTGACCTGTAATGTTCGTCCGTTGGCCAGATCATTCTTTTGACCAGATCATATCTGGTCTTTTTAACAGTCTACTAATACTCTAACGAAAGTAAGTTGACTTGTATTTGTAAAGTCACAGTAGAATGTCTAAAATGGACCATCGAAATAAAGTGTAAACCATACATCAATGCACCAAATCTTTAATAATGTATGAAACAACGAAACTGTGTCTTATGAGGGGAACACTAATAAGGACTGTGACAGCATGAGTCTGTCACCACAGTATGAGGGTCAGTGAGTGTTTCTGACTGGAGTCTGTGTCTCCATCACTAAACACAAGCTCATTATCAATGTTTTTGGCACAGTTAGTCTTATTCTCCATTCTTTCTTAATGCTGAACATCCCTGGCTGTCCATAGCTCGTTTGTTCATTCATTTCCCACAGCCAGAATACGCTACATCTACTCTGCAAAAGGTTTGCCATGTATACACACAAGCCGTTTATGTTCATTATTGTTGTAATGTTAGTTTCTGTGTGTATTCATGCGTTTTGGAGATACTCTGAAGGGGTGGGATCTCGTGGTTTAAAAAAGCTAGCTTGCTATTGCTAACTGCTCCAAAATTGCCTACTCTACCTTTAATTTGATTGAGGATGGTTGATGTTTTACGAATTGAAGTTCAAGAGTTGCAATCTACATGCACATGTGGCTGTAACATTACAAAGCTTCTGTATCTCCCTGTTGCAGTGAACAAGGCTGGCTCTGTGTAGCGTGTTTTGAGGGAGTTAAGGAGCTGACTGGAAACCGTGGGTGCTCCTGGTAAGGGGGTGTTGATGGTTAAGGGTGAGGCTTGAGCAGATCAATGTGGATGAGAAACCACTTAGCAGTCACTTGGAAAAAGCTGAAGTTCACCTTAAGAATGCATCACTGACTTAGCTTAAAGGGATAGTTCACCAATAAAAATGAAAGTTTATGCATATTTACTCACCCTCTTGTTGTTACTCTGTATAGTTTTTTTTATTTGTGGAATACAAAAAGGGGATGTTAGGCAGAAATAGTAAATTATGGTGGAGGAAATGATAATCAAATAAACCTAAGTTGCATCAGTCCAGTAAATGTTCATCTTGAGGCTGGACAACATTTTTAGAATGATATATTAATTATAGAATTAGAATTATATATATATATATATATATATATATATATATATATAGAAATGCATGTATCAAATATGAAACAGCCTTTATAGGGTTAGATGACCTGACAGAGTATCAACAGTATTGCTCATCATGCTGTTATTCTCAATATCATACCAACACAATGACACACACTACTCTTTATGACTACATAAGACCGTTACGCATCGCTCACCTCGCACTCTAATAGACTTCCTGCACTGAACAGCTGAACATAAATTCAAGTGCAGAAATAGGCAAGACTGTAACTAGTCACTTGTTTCTTTTGTCCCAATGGAACATACAGCAAACATTAAACAATAAAAAAATGGAATTATAAAATAATTTTGTCTCTTTATTACCCATGTGAGACCACTAGACCTGATGTTGTCTATATGCATGGACTTCAAATGGGTTATATTGCCAAAACCCGCTTGTATCAAAATGGTTTCTTGTCATACCAAGGCAGGCAAAGACTGCACTAACCTCAGAATAGCCTTTAACAAACTATAGTGCAAGTGTTAAACACAGACAGATCATACATAAAAGGTAGAAAGAACACACAAAGGTTGATGCCTGATGAATTAAAGATGCAGCATGAAATATGGGTTGGGTTGCTTTGACAGAGTGAACATGATTAGTACTTTATATCAGATGGCATATTCTGTCGTTCTTGTGAATAGACATTCTGCACAAAGACTGAATATGGAAAACAAAACAGTTCTTCTATCTATATTATTTGAAATTAAATGGACAGTTCGCCATCATTTACTTATAGCCTCATGTTATCTTGCATGGCTTTCTTCAATTGTCAAGTTTCCCAGTGGCCTTTAAGTTTCATTTGTTGGGAAAAAAGATGTGAAGTTAATGGTGACTGAGTATTACATGGTTGGAACACTATGTGGGTGAGTCAAAAAAAAATTAATCGACTATCTCTTTAAAATGTATTTTACATATGTAAATACCCCCCATAAAACAGATCCTCCACACACGTTTTCCTTTGAGTAGGCGAAAAAGCAAACCTGTCCGAACACGTCTATTCAAGAAAACGTACAAAAACCCGAGGGAATCCAACATCTGCCTCGGCGACACACAGAGGAAATGTTGATACTGCAGTGACGAGACAGCAGTCGGTACAAGTATCCAAACACGGAGGAAAGCGAGAGGAAGAGCACGAATCTTACCGAGGTACTGCCTGATCTCCAGCAGAACTTTAGGGGGTCCTCCGTTCAGTTGGTAAAACAGTGAGCCGAGACAGAAGAGCAGCAGTGTGGCCATGCAGAAAGCATAATCGCGCAGGGAGAAGCGAAGCCTGAGAGCCGATAACCAGAATCCCGTTCTGCTGTTGCGATCTGTGCTGTGACTCGCGCTGTGATTGTTTAGACGGGGGCTGCTGCTGTAATTCTTCATCGTCTCCTCACATGGAAGCGCCGAGAATGGTCGTCACCCATCCGCCTCTTTAGATATAAACTTTTCAGTCAACAAAAAAACCTGAAGCCACAGATTAAATACGCGCGAACGGAGGCGTTCAGATGTTCGTCCCCTGCTCGGCCGTGTTTTCTCGTCTGCTCTTGCTGAGCTATTTTTGCGAATGAAGTTTGGAATCCATCCTCTGCTTATTGGGGTTAGTGTCGGTGTCAGATTACCGTATGTGGAGGAAAAAGTTCAACCGAACTCCCGCTCACTCGTTACCATGCGGAGCTCAGCACCACCAGGCGGAAGACACGTGAAACCGGCCCAGTAGCCTAGCCTACATCATCAGGCATCAGCATCAAATCCACTAATTATTTTAGCAGTTACAAATATTTTAATCAAAAGGCATCTTTCATAAAATAAATCTATCTATCTATCTATCTATCTATCTATCTATCTATCTATCTATCTATCTATCTATCTATCTATCTATCTATCTATCTATCTATCTATCTATCTATCTATCTATCTATCTATCTATCTATCTATCTATCTATCTATCTATCTATCATGAACGAGTGGCATTTGTCAAAGTGGCAGAAGGCTTTAGTGTAAAAACAAGCTATGCTTTTGGAAGCAATTTCCAGGTCACTATTGTTAAGGCACAAAGATAGAAACCATTTTAATTAAATATTCAGCCAAGAAGGTGGTTTATGAGTGAGCAGTTTTTGACCATTTGAACTAACAAACCTAAATTATAGCTACTCTTTCAGTCATGTAAGAAAGTGTTAGAAGAATGATAAAAGCAGTCTGTCTCACAATGGTTTTATTTATAGTGCAACACTATATCTTTTATTTCACTGAAGCATTGTAAATCAAATGAAATTATGTCTTTATTTAACCCACCCATCATGTCTGGTGATTGCTAAATCAAAGGGTGAACAATGGCAAAATTGCAGTCTTAAGCAGCGTTTTAACTATTTTATCAAAAGAAAGTAAAAATGTAAAATAAAGATTAGTTTACATGTTCTCAAATAACAATGTTTATAGAGTACTGTTGAAACTAGTTATTTGTACTTTGAAAATACAAATAATTCCAAAAAAAATTTTAGATTTCTATTTCAGATATATGATGTTCTTTTAAACTTTCTATTTTTCAAATAATCTTTTAAAAACAATGTATCATGATTTCTACTAAAACACTTATTCTATGTTTAGCAGCAAAACTTCATCAAAAGGATCATGTGACACCGAAGACTGGATGATGCTGAAAACAGACACACACAGTAACGAAAAGCAGTCAGTGTGTATGATATTCTTTTTTTATTACACCTCAAAAGAGACAAATATTTTAAGACATTTTTGTTTGTAAATACACAAGCAAAACCTTTATGGACAATCATTAGCGAACTGAAACCAGATAAAATCATTTTTATACATGTATTTTACAGTGGTCACTGAAGCATGTCACTTGCTAACTAGGTGAAAGAGTATTGCTCTATGATGTATAATCCAGCTAATAATTACATTTGATGTAAAAGAAAAAATAAGTTATTTAAATATCAATTACATATACAGAATGTGCAACCTCAGTTAATCATTTCATATATGTAATTAAAACCCAGTTTTATATCACTGGTCATGGTTAGTTCTGTAATTAATTAACAAGTGATTATATTTTTAACAGATTTGATATTTAAACAGCTCAACTCAACCATCAACATTTGACCTGAAAACAAACATCTTAAAAAAAAAGAGAGACAAACTGTAAATGTGTCGATTTGTAATCTCATTTTCTCCACAATGGAATTAAAAAAAATTCATTCTTTAATAAAGTGCATTTTTTTTACAGTAACATTTCATGAAATATATTTTCGATTTTAAATACATAAAAAGCCTCATTGTTATCAAAGCACTCATCTGATAGCAATCTGAAGGCAACCATTCTGATTTAAAGGAATCTAACGATTCTCTACTGCAATTTAAAATGTTCATTAAATTCTTGAGCGTTACGGTCAATACATTGTGCTGCATTACATACAAGAGAAAATGACATGAGGGAGAAATACAATTCTAAAGCGAGCATTCAAAAAGACACCGTTTCATAAAACTGCAAGGCCTTGGGGGAAGCATGACTGGTGTCTTTCTGTAACTGGAAAAAAACCAAACGATCTTCAGAAGCATCTGCATGCACTGAAACAAGGTGAATTCTCACCTCACTTGCTCAATCAAAAACCACCTGAGAGTGATTGCACGAGAAACTCTTCATTGTGCTTAATTTGGAGCAATGTAATGTGATGATTTCATACTAATGCCTAAATAACGTCACACACGTCTGTCAGCTAATCTTGTACTTAAAGCTAAGTTTTCATTTAGAAACGAATCGGCCAGATGCTGTCCTTTTTGTTTAAGTAAAGTTATGTCCATCCCTAGTTACCTCATAACACCTTATTCTCCCTGAAACACACACGCCATTTGCAATGTGTTCTGAACGACAAACAAAATAATCAAAAATAATTGTAAATCAGACCATCAATCATCCTTTTTTTCCTCACAAACAAAAACAACACAATGATGTGACTGACTTTCATGTGGAAAATCAAAACATAAATAATGCTTTCTTCTTAATTTTTAAAACTTAATTTTGTACAGGTCACTAGTAGTGTCAAAACACTCCCCCAAACTATTCAGTATCAGTTTTGATTTGACTGATTTTAAGGCTAAGACTGTGTGCTTTCAAGAGCTTGAAGCTTTTTCTAAGATTAAAAAAAAAAAAATGTCTTCAAAAACACCCCAGTCAAAGTGCAAGGCAATCTGGGGCATATACGAAAAATAAAACAAAACAAAAACACCTGTACACATTTCACTCCAGCAAGAAAATTACAGCTGTGTGATGCATCAGTCGCACCAGAGATGAGTATGATGAGAGGTAAACAATATGCATGAGTATAATTTTCAAGATAACAGGCAACATAAATTGATACAGTAATAAACTTTGATATGTCGCAACAGCCGAGTAAGTGAAGCATATTGTGTGAATATTGTTCGTTTAGAAGACCGGGAAGATTAAATGTGCTGTAAATATAAAGTATTATATTAAGCGTAATACAAGGAGTGAGGCTAAAATGGAACCATGAAGAAAGAAACAAATGCAACGGTTTGTACAAACATAGTACATACTTGCTAAAACCGTGACCAACTATTGGCCTGAAATCAAAATGTGCATATGGCAACATCATGCTTTTGGGTATTTTAGAAACACCCTTTACTTGACTCACCCATCTTTTCATATACTGTATGCTTAGTTTGAGAGATAAAGTAATATTATATAAGCAAAACCTGCATGAAATGATATTGCTTTGGCCAGGTGACATACTCTTGATATTCATGTGCTTAAGCACAAAACCTTTATTCCTTTAGAGTTTGTTTTTTTCCTAAATAAATCTCACGCTTCCCGAAAAAGTGAGAAAGGGTTTCAAAACAGTCTTTAAATTCATACAAAAGCAGACATTTTCAGAAAAAAAGTGTGCTTTCTTTCGACAGGTGATCCTTTTTCAATGGAAACATCTGTTGATAGGCCCACCATAACAGTCCTTGGAAGCCAGATCGTAAAAGCCAAAAGGCGTGAGATTATAAGACGAAAACTTGGGGGAAAATTCGGCAGCTGTTGTCCAGGTCTGTCCCTTCACCTGGCAGAAGAGTTTGATCCATTTATTCTAGTTCGTAATAGCTCGTTTTAGTATTATGACTGTCCTGAGCTGCTGGCTGTGACTAGTTGGGCTTCACTGAGAAGAATACGTATGTGATGGTCCTCCTTCAAGCCAGCTTCCCTCGCTCTTGCCTCGTTTAAGGATGACACACAACCCAGGGTGTCAAAACCTGCAGCCAATAGAGGGGCAGAATACATGGGCATTCCGATCGACACGAGCCAATCAGACACAGAGCTTAAATGAACAGGAGACACTGGCTTCCGACACATGTCAGTCAAACCTCCTGAGGGAATCTGCGGAGATAAAGAAAACACAAAGACCGAATGTCAGTGCTAATGCAGTCAATTATCATGATCTAATTTGGCTAAATAAATCTGCGAAAGTAACTCACAGCCATGCGGTGCTCCTTACGGAGTTGTTTAACTCTGATCTGATCCAGACTGGACGCCACGTCCTTCACTGGCTGCTGGAAGTCCTCCGAGTACCTCTGTACTAAGAGCTGAGGAATACCACACCGGCCGTGCTATAAGAAACACAAAGATAAAGGGAAAGATTAGCCAGGATAACAAGATCTAGCTGAGTTCACCACCTCTGTTAACGGCCCACAGGGCGGACGCTTGCCGTTATATTTTTAAAACAATAATATCTTAGAAAAGACCTTAAGTAATATTGACAAACTATATATCATTTGAAAGCTTACAATCTCTATTTCCATATTTGGTGACTGATTTTCAAAATAAATTACACAGGAGCCGTAATTATCAATTTGCAACTTTTCATACTCAAAGTGTGTTCAGACCTTTATTTTGAAATAGCAATGAACATGAAAAATACAGTTTGTATTCATGCCAAGAGTTCAAAAGATTGCATCCATTTGATTATTTTAGAAAAAAAGTCTGAAAATGTTTTAAATATTGAGAAAAAAAATAAATAAATTCACCGTTTGTGATGTGGCAGGAAGCTATTACGCATATGCGTTTTCTTTGTATGTTTCTTAGAGGTTGAATTCATATAAAAATCTGCCAAACGTCCCATACTACTTCTGAATAGGATCTATACTTCATTAATTGTATGAGAATTGTGTAAATGATGGTTCAGATCACTCAAAACACATTTGGAAATGGAGGCGCCCTTATATGGGCAGTAATGGAGTCTGGTTGTGCCCTAGTGAAAAAGTTTGGTACTGCACCCAAACAAAATCTCACAGAAAGCTATTTTTTTGAGATATCAACCTAAAAATTTTAAACACAACTTGTTTAGATTTTTTGGCTTTGATTTTTCTGCAGTTTTAGAGTAGCTCAGGTTTTGAAAATATATATTTTATATAAAATGTGAATAATTAATGTTTTACATTGTACATTTCCATAACCTCAAACTTCTATAACTTTTTGCTTCACTTTCTTAATTTATTTCACTTCGACAAAAATGTCAAATGTCTTCTTTAAAACAAGACTAATTTTACGTCTACATTCCAAAGCATTCTTGAATTACAACCATTTAAGTTTTAAATGTGCATTTCCATGTCTATTCAAAAAAGGGAGGGTGACAGTTAAGCAACTGGAAATCATCTCTAGAAACCCTACAACCCCTAAGAGACACAAGTGGTCATCAAAATATAAAAAAATAAGAGAAGAATTTTCTTTGCTACAACACTGCATTGAGTCAAGCTAAGCTGTGATTAGCGCTCAGCTAATGTGAGTGGAGCAACATTGGTCTTAGGCTGTGGACTCTGAATAACAACAGAAATTATCAGATCATAAACTTCACTTCATGTGGCTTTTTAATTGATTTTACGGGTGGTAGAGACCGAGGATACTTGGAAATGGAGATTGACTCACAAACAAGCAAACTTTATGTGGCAATTATAGCATTACAAGGAGAGCGAGACTAAATTGTTTGTTTAATGTGAGAGTCAGCGCTTTAAAGCTAACATCACCTTGTGTGGCGTAACAGATCCAGTTTAATCTTTATCAGGACGTCTTTGTTAGCATGCCAAATGACCATCTCGCTTCTCGAAAATAAACAGTGTGGCTTTATAATATTGCAAACCAATCAGTTTTTTTCATTGTAGTAAATCTCAATAAGTAATAATCTAATCAAAAATCCAATGTTTTGATAGCACATGAGAGCCGCAGTGTTTATGCTCCTCTGGGAAATCAAACAATGAACAGCAAACAAGCTGCGAGAGGAGAATGTATACTTGTGATTTCCAAATCTATTCAAATAGATTCAAACAATTCCTTGTGCCCAATATGGGATACATGCGATAGGCTGTGGGTCCAGGCATAATTGGATTGGCTGCCAATAAAAAGCACTAAAACTCCAGGCAGCCTGTGCAGTCTGAAACCTCAAGTTGCTCCAGTTTTTATTTTAGAAAGGGGACATTTTTCACCACTTATTCACCTTTTTGTTTGTGATAACCTCATAGAAGTGATTTGGAATCAGGTTTGTTGATGGACATGCAGTGGTCACCAATATGTACCCGATTTGAGATGTTCTATGAATACTAAACTCACTGCTTATAAATTACACAAATCCTTCCACTTTTCCACTGCTATTGCTGGCATGACTGAAATGACTTTTTAAGGATACATGATATGTTTATAGGTATGTCTGTGCTAAGTCATGCAATTAAAAATAGCTAAAGAAAAGGAAGACAATTAATTGTAGAGACCTATACGTACTATACGGATGTCTTGTATGAAAGTTAATGAGTGGAAATTAGTGTTTGGATGAGCACTGATTACAATGAATGCTTCTTTTCATTTCTCTTGGCACTTGCAAAAGAACTTCCAGCAGTAAATGGAAGGAAAAAATAAACTGGCAATGATGGCACAGCCAGGGACAGTGGCATGGTCAAGTCAAGCCCCCAACTGGTAATCATTGTGATTCTGTTTAGACTGCTATATAGTGCCACACTTTTCTCCATATGACGCAGTTAATAAAAAACTTGCAGTCAACTTGAACATGTCCATAAGCAGGGTTCCTCAAATCCCTAAAGAGTTCTTCACTGTCCTGAAGAGTTTAGCTTCAAGCACAAAGTCATAAGCAAGCCAATCAAGGTCTTACTAGAAAATAACAGTCTTTGAAGTTAAATTAGAGCTATTCTTCTTTGCCTCCCAGGAAAGGATCTGAGGAACCCTGTTATACGGTCCCATTTGGTATTTAAAGTTTTCGAAAAGTGAACACAGCATTACTTACTTTATCGGAGTATGGCTCTTCAGTGAGGTCAATCCCTTCCGAGTGCATCCTGTCCTCCAGCAGTGACTCGAGGTCAACCATTTTGGCGTGGGAGATCTTCCTGCTGAGGGCGACTTTAGCACCGTGGATCTGACGACATGCTGATTCAGGCAGGTCAGACAGCCAGGGTGGACTCAGAGCAGCAGGAGATTCCCCTGGTGATACTGGAGAACTCTCGGAGGGAGTAGTTGGGGTATATATGGGTTTTGGGGGTAGGGTTGGGGTATTTGGCACCGAACCAGAGAGCACCAGTGGAGGGTGGCGCAGACCATTTGGCAGACGTTCTTTGGACTTTTTAGCAGGCACAGGAGGTGGGACAGGTGGCTTTTTAGGGTGAGTCCGTGGAGCCGGGCTGGTTGGGGCAGAGACAGGTTGGCGGTTTGAAATCTGAGCAGCAGGCAATTGACTGACCAGGCTGAGAGGAAGCTGTGTGGGAACCATAGGTCTCTGCAGCGAGCCTGTCTCTCTTCCAACACAACTCTGGTCCTGTTTTGATTCTACAGGATCTGTATTCACTGTTTTTTTTTTCCTCTCCAGTCTGCCTCTATCCTCACTGCCATGCTCCTTCCGCTGATCGAAGGCCTGCTCCCAGTGTATATCCCCCAGAGAATGAGAGCGCTTCCAAGACTCAGGGATCTCCTGGGAGCCGTCCAACTCCTCACAGCTTCGGCTGACCGGTATGTGGGAGGTTGGTACTGCTTTGGAGCCCTTCTTGAGGCAGAGGCTTCGCAGGTTGAAGCTCTTTATGGGCCGGGGCAGAAAGGTCTTGGGGAACTTGTGTTCCTTCTTGGCCTGCTGCTGTAGAGCTTCAGTGGAGTGAGTCATGGGAAGAGTGGGATAGTCTGTAGACTTCACACCCCCACAGTCAAATCCAGATGAACCACGGCTGTGGTGCGACGACTTTCGGCTCTTACCTGAAACAGAGATTCGTGCTTTCACATAAATTAATTAAATCACACACAATTCCTCAAAGGCTTCAGAAGGTACCTCATGTTCAAAGAATAACCCTGATGTCATAAAGATGATGAAAAGGAAGAGATAGAATTGTAGCAATTTGTTTTACAAATGAGTACAGCTCTTCCACTCTCTCATTGATGCATTAGCCAAACCAATAATGCACACTGTTATTGGTTTGGTTCATGCATTAATGAGTTTTATCATAATTAAAACCAAACTACTACAATCTGAAATGTATGCTGTTAGAAAATGAAATGCAAAAAATTGCACCTTTAGGTAATAAGGTATCATATCTACCCATAAAGGGTGGCTATTATTACCTTAAGGATAAATATTAGCAAATTGTGGTACTAAAATGCACACCTTAAGAGTACATAAGGAACACGTGTGTACTTTTAAGGGTACTGCACCAGTTAAAGTTAAAGGTACAATTTTAGATTTTTTTTTTTTAACATAAGTCACTTGTTAAGAATTGTAAAAATTAAATTGACATGTTGTTCCAAAACTGTAGAACTTTAAAAAAAAGTTGTCATAAAGGTTTAGAGCAACATGAGGGTGAGTAGATTATGACATTTTCATTATTTGGTGAACTACCCTTTTAACATGCGAGAAGAACAGAATCAGAATCTAAACAGAAGTAAAGGTATGATAAAGTACAAATGTTGTATATTGTCACTAAACTAAACAGGTTAGTGATAACATTGTTTTGCCGATACCCAGAGGAATAAATCAATTCACAGTTCAGTGTTTAGTGATTATGTAATGGTTAGTTTTAAGTTAAAGTGTAAAATGTGAGTGTTAAGACATTAAGTGATAAAAAACACAAATTCAGATCATATTGTCATGTTTCCACATCAATTCTACTTAATATGCCGAGTATAGAGTTAGTGACAGTCAAGCAATTTAAGATTTGCAGAGGCACAACACTTTTTATATTAAAATAATAATATATCATAAATAAAATGATAAATGAGCTTTTATATGGAGGGATCTTAGAGATACATGTACAAAACAAACAAACAAATGATTATGCCATGGTTGATAAATGATGGAAATAATCTGGAAATGAGAGAAAGGAGCCTTCAAGGCTGCATTTAAAGCATTTTTCCCCCCTGGCCCATTAGTCATAGGCTACTTTAACAGAACCAATGACTCAAAAAACTGATGGTGACAAAGCAGCACACGCTCCAATATCGAATATAATAAGCTCTGTACTGCTGCTCTTAAAATAAATAAATGGAAAAGTAATCAGCACAGAAAAAATAATGTCAGGAGGTGAAAAGAGATGAAAAAAGCAAGCAGACCAGAATGCAAGAGATCAAAGAATGGATTTATTTTCCACATTGGCAAATTGCACATATTTTATGATCCGTTCTAAACACTCAGACTTGTCTCCACACACACATACATCCACAGACTCATACACCTGACATACACAACAGGAAGAGGGATCAGTCAGTGTTTTAAGATGCCAGTAGAGGGTTAAAAAGGCAACAGAAGAGTGGAACCCTTAAACACTGAATTTCTTTGGAAATACAGAATGAGATACGGTCCTCACTTACATAAAATCCTCTAAAAATAGACTTAGTAGGTTAGTTTCTACTTTTTCACAATCTACATAAAATATCAGCTTCCAACCGTATGTAGAGTCTATGCAGCCACGCTATTTTGCATTTAGAAAGTCTTTTCTTTAAGCACATAAGAACTTGTGCAATATGACCACACCAAACACCACACACAAATATGGAGTGATATTTCTTGAAATGGCAAAGGGAGGGAGACAGTGATGTTTAATAAGAGATTGAAATGAGTCTGCCATGGAGAACATTCTCAAAATCATCGTCCTGTGTGCAAGTCCTGCTGTGAGCACAAGCCTCGTGTGAGTTTATGTCGGTCTCTCTTTAGATTTCTCGGAAGCAGCGGATGTATTTTGATTAGTCAGCGATGACAAGAGTGGCTGCTGATTTAGGAAATGTTGATTTCTAACAGAATGGAAGCAAGCAATAGCAGAAGTCTGTGTAGGCTGGATAAGAGAGTTAAAAGAAAGGGATGATGATGATAGAGCGCCTCTGGAAAAGAGCAGCAGAAAGAGAACAGGGCACAGCAGATGTGACAGACAGACAGGCTTGGGTTAAATCCAGATGTGATGACAGGTTCTCATTGGCTGTTAGGACACTGAGTCATGGCAGAGGCCCAGAGGTGAGAGGATGATGTCATGGCGTTGCTACACTAGGCTGGACATGGTGATGCGGTTGGTATGGAGATGCTAGACAAGCGCCTGGTTACCATTCTCTAGGTTTTCGTTGCTTTCGTAGCAGCCAGAGTCCCGTGGGGAGTCAGCCATGAGGCCACGCCCCTCACAGAGGAGTTTCTCCTGAGAGCCAGAGAGGGCGCTGCGCTCCGGATCACTGCTACCTAGAACACAGACAGACAAAGTTAGGAAATGCATACACTTAAACTTTTTTTTTTTAATAAACAAGTGAAAAAGTGGATGGTCCTGTCCTCTAATTAACTATCATAGCTGCTAATGGATGCTAATGCAAGACATGGATTATAGACATAAGTTGTTTGGATAAACATTTAATATATAGTGCATTTAGTAAATCCATGTGTCCGCTACTTTTCAAAAAGAAAGATTTTTTTTAGGGCTGTGCAAAAGTTAATTGCGATTAATCGCATCCAAAATAAAAGTCTGTGTTTACATGATATATTTGTGTGTGCTGTATATAATTATTTTGTATATATAAATACTTATGCATGCATGTATATATTTAAGAATTATTTGCGCTTAAATTCTGTATATATTTATAAAAACATAATCTATATTGTATAAATATAAATATATTTTATATATGAATAACACATTTTCTTAAATATATACATGCATGTGTGTGTATATATACAAAATAATTATATACAGCACACACAAATATATTATGTAAACACAGACTTTTATTTTGGATGCGATTAATCGCAATTAACTTTTGCACAGCCCTAATTTTTTTTTTTTTTAGAAAGAAAATAACACTTAATTAATCTTGAAAAAAACACAAAAAAGTACAGTGTACTCAAAAATATTAAGCAGCACAACTGTTTATAACATTAAAAATAAAAATGTTTCTTGAGCAGCAAATTGGGATATTAGAATGATTTCTGAAAATTCAGCTTTACCATTATAGGAATAAATTACATTTTAAAGCACATTAAAAACAGTGAACAGTAGTGTTGTCTGATATGCTCCATTTTCACATCGTTCTATCTTCAGCCTGTGAGATCAGTGATGAACGATATTATTGTGAGGGGGTGGGGCTTATTTGATTATCATCTTGATTAGTTGCTCATTAATTTGCTTGTTTTATATACGAGAATATTTGTGAATGAATGGATCACCATGCAATTAAATTTAATGTGGGATGTAGTTTTTTAGTTTCAAGTAGTTTTAAAAAAAAAGTCCTCATACACACGTGTTGGTGTTGTCGCAAGTGGTGATGTTATGAATTTAGGCAAGGCAAATTAATTGTAGTTCCTAATCATAATTTAATAAAAATAATAATAATAATTTAATACATTAATGGTAAAACAATGCAATTATCATTTATTGTCAAATGCATCTGCCATCAGCACAACCCTAGTGAACAGTTATTTTAAATTGTAATAATATTTCACAATATTACTGTTTTTACAATATTTTTGATCTGCAGTCTAAGCAGTGGTGTGATGTATATGTGTGTGTGTGCGTACTCACTGTCATAGTCCTGCAGTAGCTCTACAGCAGTCATCAGTACGGCGCGATGTTGGGGGTCTTTGATGTTGAGCTCATCTAGATCATCTTCCTCCAGTAACTTAAACGTGTCCAGGTCTTCATAGCCATTAAATAGGAACGTTGGCATGTGCTCCTAAAATACACACATGCATACATGCACAGATTAAACACTCATACACAGATTAGAGAAGCAGCACTATATAGGACCCCTACAGCTAAAAATACCCCACTCCACCCTAGTGGTTCAACTATTTATGTGTGGGAATGTTTCCAGACTTCAAGCTCTATTGTGACAGCCAACTATCATTATAGTCCATTAACACACTGAGAATCAACACAATGAGGCTTTAAATGTGTCCTGGTGTCTATTGTGTGTAGCCGTAAGGTCTGTAATGTGATGTTATTTTAGATGTAATAATGCAGGAGCTTGTGGGAGGTCTGAAGGGTGTGTATGTCTCTGTGTTTAAATAAAAAATTTTAAATGGCAAAGGGAAATGACCTCATCCCACATTCTCATAGTCACACCAACATCCACTTTTTATTTTCTCATCTCTCCCCATCCCACTCATACATGTTGTCAGTAAAGATTAAAGATGAGCCCCAAACTCAGATTTATGTTAGATGATTATAGATATGCCAGTCAAAATTTAAATATGTACATAATTCAATAAAAATGGTTGTGTGTGTGGTCTTTTTCTCACCTTCATGTTGATTCTCTCCAGTAGCTCCTCAACAGAGCTGGGTTTGGGCGGCCTGCCCTTCCTCCTCCTCCGAACCGCTCGTTTGGGCTTCTCCACTTCTTCAGCCAGCACATCCACATAGATGAACTTAAATGTGCCCACCTTGTTATTGAGCAGACCCATCCAGGTGCCCATGGGTGGCTTGCTGATGATATCAATCACATCTCCTGTCTTAACAGAAAAACAGAGAAACTGAATGAGTTACATTACATAAAAGTTCACATTCAATAAAATGAAAAAAAAAAAAAAAAAAAAACACTGAATGAAAATACTAAAATAATTAAGCCTGAAACTAAGAACAAATTTACAAAATGAAATAAAAAATAATCATAGTAGTTACTTTTAATGTCTCAAATCACCCTAAAGTATCTTCCTTCTCATATAATTAAAATTATTTAAACTCATATTTACTAAGTAGCTATGTAATAAGTTGGACCATTTCATGTCTAATCACAGTGGTTTGTAAAGGTCTAAAACATAATTTAAAAATAATGAGTAGTACACACAAATTAATTTGAAATGAATCTGATTAATCTCCCGTGTGTGTTCAGTACCTTGAGCTTGAGTGAGTCTGTATCATATGGACTCGGTGTGAAGTCAGTGTGAACTCTTGCTCTGCCGCAGAATGGGCCTCTGTACGGAGGCTCTTCATCATCCCCATCCTCACTCCTCACGCTCTCTCTGTTGCTGGCTGATGAGTCTGTGGTGCTCACAGTCTGTCCACCTGTGAGAGGACCAATGCAATCATCAGTCAGACCACTCAGAAAAACATCTCCATGATTTGAGGCATCATTCATGTCAGTAGCACAAATATCAAAAGTTGCAATGAAATAGTAGACAGATTATCGAAAAAGGATAAATCTAGGCAGGGTTTTTTTTTCCAACAGTTGTTAATTGGACCGAGGCAAGATCAGAATGCAAGCTTGCAGTCAATTGGTGGACTAAATGATTGGAGAAATCCGGCATGAGTCACCAGAGAGAAGTCTATAGTTTTTCACCAGAAAATTGAGTTACGACATTTTGATTAAACATTACGATGCCAAATTACAATTCTAAATTAGGGTAAAAGAAAGTATGAGCAATAGTGATGCTTGCCTTGGAAAAGAACAAAAAACACACTTACTCATGGAGCTCTGGCCACTGAGGGAACTGCGGAGACTCTCTACAGACCCTCCTGCCTTGAGTTTGGGCTTCTCAAGAGAGTCTGTGTCTGGTTGAGGAGACTGAGGACAACTGGGTGTCCCATCTGTACTGGACTATACAAATAAAAAGAAACAAGAGAAATTAAAGTGTATCATTATTTATAAAAACAAATCAAGAAAGATAGACAGCAGATGAAGGACATAATATAAAGCTCACAAAATGGACATTTGCTGCACTGCTGTAATTCCTCCATGTCACCACTAGGTGGGACTACACCCTAATATATGATTACAGGGTGCAAGATATGAAGAACAAATGTGCTGTGTTGACATGAAATTCCCTCATGAAATGAGCTCAACAACGACTAACACACACAGATCTCCATTAAACATGCTAAAAGAGATCAGACACGCCATATAAATGTGAACGCTTTGCCTAACGGTAACTAAAACCTAATGAGCTGCAGTGCCTACAGAGGCAGCATGTGAATATAGGCAGTGAGTGTGTATCCAACACTGACCAGGAGTTTGGGTGTATTAAATTGGATGAGCTTGTATCAGGCTACATAAAGTGATGTTTGACCCAAGTTTGAAACAGAAAGTGGGGCACACATGTGCTACTTTCCCCTGGAGTAAAGACAGGGTCTCACCTCTGAACAAGCCTGCTCTATAGCACATAACTCAGCACGGTCAAAGCAAACACACGTGCATCTGTGTGTGTACCTGTTCAGAGAGAGACCCGGCATATTTCTTGGACATTCGTTTCCTCATAGTCTCTTTGACAGACTTGACTTTCTTCCCTAGAGAGATGCGAGATGTGGTGGGAGATTTCACAGCATCCCTGTATAAAGCCTCCTGCTCCTTATGCCACAGAGAGAGACAGAAAGAGAGAGAGAGAGTGATTAAGCACACTGAAAGCCAGCCGATCAACACAACTGAATAACAAACAATGCAGCTGCATATGAGAGCTGAGACCATGAAGAAGCGAAAGAGTATGTGTACTCACGCTAGGCTCGGTCGTGTTGACCACATGGAGAGAACGATTAGACAGGTCAAATCCTCCAAAGCTACACGTTCTCTGCAGAAAAAAAGACAATCACTGTCAAATCAATTCACAATAAATTAATATATTTAGAGTGTCATTTAAAACGATTCACAAAGTCTCAATGATTCATGCTACTCTTTACAATGGAAACCACACATATTCAAATGACAAACTGCTAAAAGAAATAATTCATGGTATGACCTGATTTCCTATTTAAATCTGAATAAAATCTTTCAGCAGTTGTTTAACATTATGTAAATAAACTGGTGCTTTCTTGTAAAACCTTGAATGAACTGAAAATTGATACAAAAAAAATAAAAAATAATGAGAATAAAGCACAAATGTCAACTGACTTTACAGCAAAATCTTACACAGCTTAAATTATATTTAAATGAACTGGCTTTTTAAATGAAATGTTCTACAAAAGCAGCAGAAATATGAAATATCCAGTTCAAAATAAATAAAGATCAAAAGGTATAGTATGAAAAGCTGTTTCATTTTCCATGGAATAACATCATGCACTTTAAAAAAAATAAAAAAATCAAATCCATCAAATTTAGCATTCATGCCCAGGCTGAGAGGCATTTCCAACCCAAAATTGATGAAAAAGTTCACTGATGAAGATTCACGGTCATGTTCACATTCACTATGAATGACGGCGAGGATCCGCAGACGGCAGACTCTACAAAGCTGCAGAAGGAATTCTATATCATTTATTTTTCTTTTTTATCTATCATTCTCCACTATCTCACAAGGTCTGCGAGTTTCAATCATGATATGATACACATGACTGACTACAAGAGAAATAAAAGGAGAGAAGCTCAGAATGAGGAAAGATAGAACTAAGTATTATCACAATCTCTTTCTCTACATTTCTCAGATTATGAAGTTTTGACTCAAAACTACAGAAATGTGAGTCTACAGTAAAGATGTCTTATAGACAGTCTAAGGGATGTTTTTATGTTTTTTTTTATACTGATAGTCAAGGGATTTTCATTTTATGAAAGCAGTCTGTATTTTAGTATCAGACTGTCTTGAAATATAGCTCAAGTTAGTTTAAATTGTGCCCTACAGAAATTCTCTTTAGCAGCTTTGCAGCAGCCTGTTCCTCCAGTGCAGCAGGGGGCACTGTAGATCTGCTCTTCTGGCACACTCACAGACTTCTGCTGAATGCGCAAGAGTACACGCTTGGTGCAACGATCCATGCTGGACGCCCACTTCCTGTTTGCGTCTCTTTCGTCCTCCAGGAGCCAACGCCTATCGGCTTTACTCAGCGTGACGGGCCTAACCAGCCCGGTCCAGTTCAAGTGCCCATACAGGCTGCGTTCCACCACGTACGTGATGTTGAGCTCGCTAACTGCAGTCCTTCCCTTCAGACGCCTTGGTGGAAACAGCCAGCTACCCACTACTCCGCTCCCACAGCTCTTCCCCTTATCCCTGGCCAATGGAAGCTCACGAGTGGGAGGGGAGGCAGGCAAGGTGGAGGACGTTGCAATGGTTTTCTGAGCATTGCATGAACGTTGGTAGAGCAGGTGCTTGGTGGAGTACGCATAGTTTGGGTCAGGCTTATTGCGCTGCCACATGGAGACGGGCGGCCGCTTGGTGCTGTTAATGTCATCTAAAGACACCAAAAGGGGGTGCGGCTTTGGGCGGGGCCTCGTGAGGCCGTAAAAAGCGTAGACGCTATCAGTACTTACCCCGTGAGATAGAGATAAGGCCTTCCGCATCTCTCCGTCTGTAGCCGAGCGGGAGACTTTAGCATTGTCGTCTGCCAAACCCTCCAATTCAGAGAAAGAGGAGCCACTACCCCCCACAACACCCAGTCCGGATCCAGCGCTACTCTTCCGTGGAGGGCGGATCAGGCCATGAGGGTGCGCGCCTGGGGTCTTCACTAACTTGTGAGCAGGTTTCCAGGCATCAAGGCTGCTGGTGGAGGGTGAAGTGTTTAAGCTATCTGTGTCCCCGTCCAGAGAGAGCTGCTCTTGGGCAAGAGAGGACAAAGAGGAGTCTGTGCACTGGGCCGGCTTCTTGTGGATTTCTGCATACAGGGCGTTTATGTCATCACATAAAGGAGCTGCATCTAGACTGAGCGAATCTGTAAGAAAAGGAAGATCAAACTATAACTTCTATAAACTGAAATATAATGACTTTGAATATAATGAATGATCTCTACTCAACAGCCGATGTTAAAATTCTATAATATTTTGTCTAAACACCGTTTGAGTTCTAGATAAAGTTGGAGTTCAATAATATTTTTTTATGTTTTTAAAGTCTTTCATTTACATATTTTTTTATTACTTTTATAACATGAAATGTCTTATCTCTCCTTTTTCGATCAATTTAATGTATTCTACTAGAATAAAAATATACATTTCTTAAAATGTTACTGTAAATTAAATATAAATACAGTAACTAACATCAAATGTTTTAAATGATACCACTGAATTTTAGGCATCACAACAGTGTAAAGTTCACCATGAAAAACATCCATTGAAACTTGATACAAAATTACACAGAACAGTATCATTAAATTAAAACATTTCATTTTTAAGGATATTCTCCTAATAAACATCAGTTAATGCAAGATAAACAATATTCTCTTCCAGCTACCTTGTGAGCCATGTCTTTTGCTGTCATCCACTTTGATGAGTTTCTTGCGAACACGTCGAGTCGAGTTGACCAGCTTGTGAAGCCTCTTGAATTTCACAGAGTCTTCCTGCTCATCATCTGACTGCTCCACAGACTAGAAAGGGAAAAGTCAGCTTCAATATTAAATCACCCCCTAGAAACATGCATACACACAACATCTCTTCAATATAGACATACACACAAAAACAAAAAAAGAAAATGGTTTCAATTGGTATGAACAGATTATGACATGTTTAGGATGGGCTCTTGCTATTAAGGACATGATTTATGAAAACAATGCAGCATGGAGTTACGTGTTATGAAGTAGTGAGTCCAAGGAAACACACACAAGTCCTGTTTTTGGACATAACAGATGAGTATGAGTGAGCATTTGTGGTGGAATAAATACATTTGATCTGAAATGAATATAACAGTCAATAGTCTAAACTGTTGAGATGGTTTATGACCCCTCCCCCAGCTTAAAAAAATCTATATAAAAAATATAACAAGAAAGATAACATTAAAAAAAACACCTGATAATATGTTCGGCATAATATATGATGGTGAAACGTCTCATCCACAAAGACAAATCCTCTTTAATCCTTTTTATCCAAGTCCCAGACTAGCAAACTCAAAATACATTTTGTTCTCTGCAAACGTACACCACATTATGGGATGACATGGTGTTATTGGACTAACAGGATATAATCGGTGACAACCACAGACTGTTTTAAAATAACCAAGATAGACTGAGCTGTTTTGACCAAATTGAATGATTGGCAAATATATCTGGTCATCCTAACAATCCACACACTTTAAGTGCTCAACTGAGATGTTAAGGTTGAAAGTGATCTTTGACTGGAAAAATTAAAGCTCACACACACAAAATCGCACTGGTTTACCATTGGCACTGAATAATCTTTCGTAATTATTCAAGGCCACAATGGCCAACAGCCAAAAGGAAGAGTCGTACAACGTGATAATGGACATGAAATAGAGGATTTGGACAAACAACAGCAGTATATTTTCTGTGATGCAAAACTACAATGTCTGCTCCTCAAATCCAGTCACCAGCAAGATTACTAAACCATATTTCAAACAAGAGCAAAGAACAAAAGAAAGGAGAAAGAAATGTGTCCAGTGTTCCTACCAGCAGTAGTTTCCTCTAGGACACAGGTTTCCTCTTAGCAACACCATCTCACACCGAGATGAATACAAACTGTAAACAGTTTTTTTTGAAGAAAACTCAGCAATATCTGGAGGCAGGGGAAAAGGCGTGAGCTTGGGCGTCCGGAAACACAGCGAGGTCTCCCATATGACCCCTGAACATCCTTAATGGTCTTCAGAGGAAAGGAGGAATGTAGGCCAGACAGAAGAAAGGCTAGCCTGATTGCAGTCCATTCATATAGAGATACAGTACATCCTCTGTGATAGTGGATTCTGGCACTGACCCCACATCAGCTTACTCTGGCGGAGCTGTGATGGGTCACTATATTGAGTGCAGTTGACACTGATCTCATGACAAGGGAACCCTGCAGACACACAGTGAGCTCTGGGTGTTCTGATTAGTGTTAAACTGAGCTCAGATCAGCGGGGTGCCCAGAGAGAGTTGTGCCCATCGTTTTAACTGTTAGAAGACTAGGGCTGACCTATTTCCATTTATAAATAGGAGATCATCCAACCCAGGGGCAAAGATTCCTACAGAGATCCACTTTCCCATTCAGATGATGAGATTCAATTTGCACATGCTTATGTGTGCCAATGACAGACAGGAGGAAATGTGTGTGTGCGTGCGTGTTTCAGAAACAGCCTTGGGGGTTCTGAGATACAGGGACTTTTTTGAATAAGACTTTCTTACCTCATTTCCTGTCCCTTTGCAACCAGGGGTAAAACAGTACAGTGGGAGAATCTCAAGAAAAACTTACCATATTTCACCCAAATAAAATAATAAATTACTTTTGCAGAAAGAAAATGAAAGCTTTTTAGGACCATTCCAAATTTTTTGCAAGACATTATTTGAAATCGCAATTTATTATATATAATGTGTAAAATATGATACTGTTATGTGTGTGTGTGTGTGTGTGGATATATACTACACATACATGCAAAGAATTATATATAATTTGAAAGAGTTTAATGTGCATTAAAATACGGTCAAAAAAATGTGTTTATTGATTTTGGCTTTATACATATCCTGGATATTTCTTGACACACAGATGCACAGAAAGCGCAGCAGCGGGGACGGGCAGTGACTTCTCTGAGCGGACAGGGATTTGCTGGGCGAGTGAGTCATTCTGCAGCTGTAAGCGCTGAGCGAAGCAGTGCTGTGGTTTGTTAACATCAAAAAGCATTGCAAAAACAGCTTAGCTGTTGACCATTAGAACAGGACGTATTATGTTTACTTACAGAGGCTGGAAGCTGCTCAAAGTTTCCATGATAATAACTATGTGTGTATTAGTGTACTGGCAGCTTATTTCTCAAAAAGGGAAAACTAAATCCACCAAACCTTTCAATGTTTTAACCAAGAACACATTCATGCAGAGCTAGGGATGGCCCTGTGCGGAGGCACGCACATGTACCATTTACAAAGCAATAACTGGAACCAAAATAGTGTGTGACTATTTCAAAATCACAAACTGATTGCAGTGGTTTGTTGGTTTCAAAGCAGAAGAAAAAGCCAGAAGCGAATAAGAATGGCACCCCTTCCACACTCACATCATATTACCCTTCAGTTAAGACGCACAATACGACCTCTTTAACAAGGGATATTTAGTGAGCCAGCTCCCCATGCCAAGTACATATGACATCATTACTAGGGGCCTTACATTACAACATCAGTGGCTCCTCATGAACACGACATATCAGCTTTTCAGATAATTCTTTAGTTGATTCAATGGTTTATAAGTTATGATTAAAGATGCACTCAGTAAATTTCCTAAATTTAAAAACCATTACAGAAATTAATATTATTGTAAAAATGTGGATAAAACTATGTACACGAGACTTTGAGAACACTAGTTTATCAGCTTTTTTTTTAAGTTAAGTTTTAAGTTTTATTTTACTTAAGAGTTGATGATCATGTTAAGATCACATGACCAGCCTACTAAGACTCATGGGTGACTGCAGGTAAAACATTTTGAGAGTAAAATCACAAACCAAAAACTTTTTGCGCGATACATTCAATATCACCATGTATGGATATAAATAAATCCATATTTGCCAGATCATATCAGTATACATTCTGAGTGCACCTTTAATGTATGATGACTACAAAAGCATCCTAAGATTTATAAATCCTAATGTTTCCAACAAATGAAAGTGAGTGTTCAGTGTGGTTATAGCAGAAATGGGGATGAATTGGGTTGACATATGGACTTCCACTGCCTGAGTTTATAAACCACAATGTCACTAGTCTGAATAGATCTAACTCCACACACCAATATATAGTCAGTACAGTGAGAGACATTACTAACACTTACTGATGGGGGGGAAATAAACTTTGATGTGACTGAATGAGGTTATGTTATAAACACACCTACTCAGGTCTACAGTCTGGGTGGTTGAGTATAGTACTTACATTGCAGGCGGAGGAGAGGTTAACAGTGGGACTGGATCCATCAGTCCAGTCTGCTGTGTCTGTACTGCTGCTCAACTGTCTGTTCCTTTCATATTCCTTTAACTATGGAGAACAAGAGGTCAAAGAGAGCCACCCCCTCGCCCTCAAACTCACACACCCTATCTGTGACAAAAATACAGTCTGAGAATACCCCACACATGTATGTATAACACACACACACACACAAAACACAGGCACATATGAAGACGTCATGCCCATTCAAACAGTTTTTTTTTTATGTATTAATCATTAGTATTTTTATTTAAACAGATCAACAGTTTGGGGTCAGTAAGATATTTTTAGCAGAAATCTATCATTTTCACTTCATAAAAGTTCGTTAAATTGTTTAAAATTTCCATTTCAAACAAATGCTGTTCTTTTAAACTTAATATTCATTAATGAATTCAGATTTTTTTATTGTAGCTTCCACAAAAATATAAAGCATCTAAACTGTTTTCAACATTCATAATATGATTTTTTATTTATTTACCTATTTATTTATTTTTTATTTCTGAATGTCAGAAATATTTCTGGAAGTTCATGTGATACTGAAGACTGAAGTAATGGCTGCTGAAAATTCATATAATAAAATAAAATACATTTAAAAAAAATAAAACTAGAAAACAAATATTTAAATTATAATAATATTTTACAAAATAACGTTTTTAAAAAGTAACGACCCCTAACTTTTGAACGGCTGTGTATTTATAGGCATAAGTACATATAAATACAATAAAATGCATTAAATATATATATTTTTATATAATTAAACAAGGATGATTCAAAAAATTAAGTCACCCCAATTAAAAAAATGTCCCACTGTAACAGTCAAAGCTTCTATTTTTCATTCAACAAAAATGCATTATGATCATTGGCTGATCCCAGGTCTGATTTTAAACTCATTCAAAAAAATAAAAAGGTGCATGACGCCCTAGGACACAGAAATAAAAAGACAGAATACAGAACAAGTAAAGCGACATTAATAAAAAAAAATAAAAATAAAAAAAAGACAAATTTGCATCAGACAAACACACACAGAAACAAAGGACAGACAAAAATTCATGCATGCTTACAGCATGTATGGCGTCAACTATCCACAAAGGCTCAGCATTGTTTCAAACTTTAGATCCAGTCATTCAAGACTGCTCATAACAGAGATAAATCAACTACCAGTCCAAAGGAAGAAAATGTAAAGTAGAAGGCAATTTAAAGATTACAGAAAACACAGTTGGTTAAAGGAATCAATGTCAGCCTTGTGGAGAGAAGAAAGTCAGTTTTTTCTATAAAAATCTATTAGGTTCATTTTAAACAATTAATCATGTTCTCAAAACACAATAACAGAAAGAAAACGAGACCTACAATCAACCAAACCCATCTGAACAAGTGAAAAAGAACAGAAGAGATCTATCCAACCAACCCCAGCTAAACCAACTTCAGAAATTAGACACCAAAGACCCTCCTTCATCTCAACATGATTTGCACTAAGGAATCTACTGCATCCATAAATTCCAGTGTCAGTGTGCCAGTGTTTAAATGCATGTGAGTTTAAGTGAGAGTGTGCATGTGCGTTTTGGAGGAAGGAAAGAGCAGGGCGGAATCAGTCAGGGTGAGTAAAGTTAGTACACATGAATGTAAGCAAGGAAAGCTCATTTGCATTATTGTTGGGGGTTAATGGGGGTTTACCCGTGACAGCGCCTCCTCCACGGTAATCATCTTCTCTTTCACCATCATCATCAGCTGGATCCGTTCCTCATCGCTCATAGTGATCTCACTGGCCACATAGCCAATGTCCTCACCTGCAGGGAGGTCAAAGGTGAGTGAGAACAACAAGGGACAGTCCACCTCCAGGGCAAGTCAGTTCATTAAACAACCATCATATTGTTCATCAGTATCAGTTTCAATAACATTTCAAATCAGCAATAATATCAGATAACCGTGCCACCATGAATTCATAGGCAAAATCTAGTTCTCATTCTTGAGTAAACAAATACTAACAAAAACCAAACAGACTTTTTTAGTGATAGAGAGAACTACTACAGCTGCCATATATAGCATTATTATATATTTCTGAGTGGGCGGTCTCCTCTCCTTCACAGTGCCTCTGAACAATAAAAACAAGTAAATAAAATAGTTATGAAGGAAGGAAATGGAAAAAATAGAGTGAGTTTGTTTTTATTACCTTTTGACGTTTGCCTTGTGACCCCTTTCTGCGACTTTCGGAAGTTCTGCCAGAAGGATTTGTTTTTCTTCCTGTTGTCCCATTTTCCTGTATGTGAAAATATGAGAAAGCCATCAGAACCGTCAAACTAATGACTATTTGTACACTCTGAAATACCTAAATATAATGCTTTACAAAAATAATTTACTCCACATCTTTTATCTAGCATCAATGTGTCTGCCTATCTACAAGACAGAATGTCTTTTAGCTTTACTCTTGTAACCAGAACATTCCAGTTTGGAATAATCCAAAATTAATTCCACTTGAATTTCCCCAAAACCACCAAAAGTTCATCATAATAACAGTTAAATGATTTTCATAATGCAAAACAAACCTGATCCATCCTCAGAGCTGGATTTGTGCAGAGGAATTCTGATGAAAAATACATAAAAAACACAAGAATTAAGACATGTTTAATAAAACACTTCAACATCTCATTACTGAACATTACATATATCAGATATCTCATCTACTACTGACAGTATGCATGTATTGCGTGGAGGCTGGATTAATAGAGTCAGAAGAGGGCAGTGTGGAGCTGTGCACAGAGCACATGTCAGGCTCCTGAGGCTCACAGGGCACAGATGAGACGCTCCTGAGATCCAACCAAACGAGACGAGGAAGACAGAAAGTGAGAGGGAGAAAAAGGGAACGAGAGCCACCGCAGGACAGACACTGCCTGTTTATATTTCCACTTCGCTCCTCTGGGGCACGGTGATATAGGAAAATAACAAAAATCTAACACACAGAGCAGCACTCCTTTATGGAGCCAGTGGATAAACGCACAGCAATAAGATTCCACAGATTTTATATTGATAATGACAGAACACATTTAGTCTATTTGGAGCATTTGGGTGTTTGCACGCAATATTCATCATTGAATTATGTATAATTTACTGCTCTTTTGTGAATATCAAGTAATCATGTAATAAATAAAAAAGTACCAGTAGTCTGTTTACTACATTACCGATGTGATGGCAAATATATGAAGAGTTCAGATGCAAAAGCCTCTAAATGCCATTTGAAATTTTCTTCTTTCATTTTTATCAAACTTGTAAATTTAAGTTCAGTTATTTCACTTAAATAACAATTAATAGGTAATTATCATTGCCATTTAAGTGAAATCACTGAACTTAAATATACAAGCTTGATAAAAATGATCATTCTAGAAGAAAATTTCAAATGGCACTTAGAGGCTTTTGCATCTGAACTCTTCATATCTTTACTGTCCTTTTATATCAGTTTTGCTGAATAAATAAAACTTTAAAATAAAGCATGTCCTTCCTGAATAAAAGTATTAATTTCTTAGTAAATTATTTTGATGAATATATAAATACATAAAAAAAACTTTTTATTGATAGTACAATACGTTTTTTTTCTAAAAACATGCTAATATAAAGCATGTTTGTAGAAAAAAAGGTATGAAAATTATAGCCTAACAAAACCATTTTTAATATTTTTTTTATTCATATAGAATAATTGGACATACCATCCTGATATCGGAAAATATCCAGTGTTTACATTCCCACTAGCGAGGTGACAGACTGTTAACAGAACCCAAAACACAGAAGCAGAAGAAAACATTCGGTCTCAAAAGTGTTTGTTCTGCAGATGAGAACATGAACACAAGTATGCAAATGTATGTGTTGTGGTTTTCTTATCCGAGTGGATTCTCGCTCATCCTTGGGTTAAGAAAACAAATCTCAACTCAGTCTGCACTAAAGTAAACAGTGAAAGTCATATAAGCATGTGCACCTCTGGTTTTCTCCACAGGAAGACAATGTTTTTGCCAGTCACTTGTGCTTAAATCATCACGGGTGCGCCTGTGTCTGCGTTTCATCTGTTGTCCATGTGTCCCAAATACATCAACGACAGCCTCACTGCTAAAGCTATCAGTATGTACACACACTCAAGAGGGTAATATGTGCAGTGTCAGGTCAGACAATACATGCTATTACAAACACTGTGAATATCTTGTTGAAAACAGATTTCTGCATATTTCAGGACGTCCATTGCACTCTGTCTGACCAAATAAATACGTCAGCACTGCTCTTTTACCCAAGTGACACAGGGCAGGATGGAGGCCTCCCTGAATTATCATATCATTATGCTGCCATGGAGGCACAAACTTTCTGTTTCACCCCGCACAGAATCCAAAGGGAGTGTCCTGCTTGTATGCTAACTGCATCCCAATGCTAAAAGGCCCTATTGAAGAGCAGCTCAGTAAATTAGGCTCCATTCAGGATTTCTGCTATTGACAGTTGTATGTGTGCTAGTACTGTGTGACCAGAATACAATAAAAGCGTGTTACAATCTATCAGTTAGGTTCTGTGTCGTTCACAGAGTGCCTTGTGTCTTTACTAGTGTGTGTGTAGCAGAATATAAGCCCTACGAGCTGCATTCCTTCACTGCGAGTAACTGTCATGTTCACAAATTAAAAAAAAAAAAGAGTAATCCCTGGCTTGCTGAGATTGTTATTCAGAGAATGCGATGAAAGAACATTTCACACAAAAATATTTGGACTCTACTCTCTGCACACAGTTCATCTGTGTGTTTCAATTTTAAAGGTGCTATATGTAACTTTTCTTCTAAAATGAATCCTTTTTTATTGCCTGTGTGTGAAGGGGTTGTAATCACACATTACAATGACCCACTTGTCGGGTTCTGCTGTTACCTCTGAAGGGCAGTATTCCTATTTCTATGTGAAGTCTCCGGGTCGGATTTTCTGCGAAAGCCATCGGATGTGACGTGCATGTGCTCTTCCGAGTCTCTCTCCTTTTTATATACAGTCTATGCGACGGCACTGCAGCTAACGTATTTAATTCACTAACCGTTTTTGTTATCATATTATACATTCATCTATGCTGACATTGCTGCCTGATTGTAAAAGATACACGAATAGTTAGTGAAATGCCTTATGCTAGATAACACCCATAGACTGTAAAAAAGGTAAAAACACCACAATTCGGCTAAATGCAGTCAATGTAACGTTATCATGGTACGAGCATGGAGCATTAGTTCAACGTCAAGCTGATAGTAGCTTATTATTGTAACGTTGCAGTGGAAGTTTACATGACATTCCAGGATGTTGTGTGATGCTTTCCCCGGTGTGTTGAAAGCCTCAGTGTGGCCGTGTACTCGCCCGTGTTCGAGCATGCGCAAAAGTACGAGCGCTCTTGTAAAAATTGGTTGCAATCTGAAACATCACCAATAGAGGCAACTAAAAAAAAAAATAGCACCTTTAAATAATAAGCGGCATGTCTGGGATTGACAACTATATCAGTAGTGACTCAAATTAACAGGTCTGGACTGAATAACATCTGTATGAAAAGGTAACCAAAGTCAAACTACATCAAAGGATTGTATTCTGCTGGATTGAATGTGGCCATCTCAATTTTTTTTTTTTTTTATTTAAGTGTTTGCATGATCGGAAATGATCAGAAAATGGCCTTCCAGAGTGTGAGATCAGTCATATTACTGTGCCAACATGTCATCACTATAAAATTAAGAGGAACATCATGTTTTTCTCATCAGTAACGTATCACTAGTGATGCATGTTCGCTGCTCTTTTAAAGCTAGGAGTGGGCTGACTTCCTTTTTCCTCTCGTCAAACTGCTGATGAAGAAGGGACACTTCTATCCCAGGGTGCACCTGGTTGGTTTGCTTCCTTACACCTGGCGTTGAGTTCAACACACGTATACGATCAAGCACAAAAACGCACATGCAAAGATTGCAAAGGAAATGTCCAGGAAATTACCTTCACTAAAGGTCATGGTAAATGGAGCTTCAGGGATTTCCTTAAAGCCACACACACATTATGTTTCTAGCACTTTATTATATAAGGGAAATAATTCAATAAAAAGAAATTAAAATCTACTTAAAGCTATTACAAATAATTAATTTAAACAGATGTGCACTAACGTTTAAATGTTTAGGGACAGAAGAATTCTACTTGAATAGATCTGTGCTGAAAAAAGGTTTTTGCTGCCTAATAATATTGTAGTAATGGTGATACTTTTTTCAGGACTGAAAGATTGAAGAATAGACATTTCAAAAGAAAATCATTTATTTCAAATAGAAATCTTTTGTTACATTACAATGGCATTACTGTCACTGTTCATGAATTGAATGGATCCTTGCTAAATAAAAGTATTAATTTCTACTTTTGAACGGTTGTGTGTATTAAGGAGGAAGACTCTAAACTACACATCTCTCTCACTGTCATCAGGTTCTTGAGGCCAAGGGGTTTTCCTTCTAATCATACGGACAGGAAATCAGGGTAATCTGTCAACGACTCTTTTGTTGGGTATGGCATTATGCTGATATTAAGATCACAGACAACTCTTCTGAAGAGTAGAATAAAGTCATAAAATCATACTGAGATTATTATGATAAATATTATGATAATGATTTGAACTCCGAAATGACAAACATCTAATGGCTCTTACATGTTACTTCTGCTTAGACACAAAGACTGAAAGAATAAATAGGCATAAAAGCTCTCACAGAATACTCTATAAATGGAACTAGAGGATCTTTCCTTCTTTCATTTCAAATGATAGGCTTTTTAAAAAATGAAAACTGGGATTTTAATTTCATGCCTTTAAACGGATGGTTCTTTAACTCATTAACTTCATGCCATTCAAAAACTTTGACTTACTTTCTACCGTGGAACATAAGTTTTTTTTTTTTTTTTTTTTTTTGAGAAACGCATAAAGTGTTTTTTTAGTTCTGTTATTCATACAATTGAAGTCAATGGGCTCCACTGTTTGGGTCCCAATCCCAACGTACTTCAAAATATCTTTTGTGTTCCACATAAGAAAACACTTCAAACTAAAAAGGTAAAAATGTTCATTAATTTTGCACAGATTAAAGTCTTATTATGCATCTATAAAAGTGAACAAACTGAAAAAAAGTTGCTTTGCAAATCAAAGTTAAGTGTCGCAACATCACAAAGCAGAGTACCAGTCAAACCCAGCGACGTGTGTAGGACCACAGAGACGTATAAATGATGAAAGATGTGTCAGCTCAGCTCCATATGGTTTACATTCATCTAAGCATACTAGTACACTCCAGAGAGTGTGGATGACGGAGATAGAATTAAATCTACCCCATGGCACGTGGACTGCTCATTCCCAAAGAAACAGACCATCAACAGAAAAGATTCATGGAGACACAACCCTGTTTGTGCACTGACATCATTCAATTAAAATCAATTCATTTTCACAAAAACACTAGCACTTTAAACATTCCGAGAGTCGTTATATGACTCAAATCTCAGAGCTCAAGTCTGAATTTCTGTTTGTCTTCCTCTCTCTATAATCAGCGAGTTTCATCTTAAACATCTAAGAACAATAGACGGAAGGAAGGAAGCCTGGAAGCACCAAGATGTGAAGTAAAATGGAGAAATTCACAACCATTCAAACACACACACTTACATTTAGGGGTAAATTTGGGTGGAGAGCAGACCTGACGTGTTTGTGATCATAAGGGGCTGTTGCTGCTCTCTCTTATTTTAGCTGATGATCAATAAAATGCAGCTCATATCTGTTGCTCTCAGAGAGGTAAACTCCATTAAATCGGCATATAGCACGGGAATTGAATATAGGATTTCTATCCGTTTTGCAAAAACACATTTATGTGAGCAGGTGTAAATGGATTAGATAGCTATCCGATCCGAGAAAACGCATGGAGTGGCCAGGTGTAAACAGCCCTCTATGAGGTCAGCAGTCATATACAGTTTAGATATTAAAAACTGACATGGGCCTGATTCATTAGTTTCATTCACATTTGTAAAAAAGAAAAATTCTACAACCAGCAACTAAATATAACAGTTCACATTAAGAGTTGCATCTAGTTGAAATTTTCTTACTTTCTCTCAGCCTCTGGAGTAGACACCTCACTGCTGAATCCAAACGACTCCTGTGGATAAAGACAACACTGCGGTTAATTACAGCAATGACACACACACATTAATCACTGATGATAAACAGTGTCATTTGTGCATGCAGTCAGCTGATTTATCACTGAGGGGTCGTGAATGAGAGTGTGTTGTAACAGTGAGTTATAGTGATGGCTGCAGGTGTGCGAAGGTCTGAAAGCAGATAGGCACTGCATTGTGGGTCGACTGACCTGGATGTCTGAACTAAGGTCTGAAGAGTTGATGCTGGAGTCTGCTTTTTCCTGGAAAACACACCAAAAAAGGAAGGGGGTTAGGAACAAGGACACACAAACACACACTGCCAATAATAAAAGGGCCACACGCCCATATGCCAGAAGTTTGCTTGTCATAAAGAAAGCCACACCCTCTGCCTCCTGCACACACATCACCTGAGGTGCACCGAACCCGCCAGTCCTGTGCAGCTGCACAAGAGAGCAAAAAAACAACAAAAAAAAATCAAAATGCGGAACGATCCAAACCTTGAAATACAACACTCATGAAGCCTGTTACAAACCAGCAAGCCTCAATCAACACCTTATCATAATACAAAAATAATCAGAGGAGTGGAAAGCACTTATATGGATTTTAATTTGGTTCACTGAAATCTTTTCATTAAGATCTCTTTTGGTCACATTTGTTCTCTACATTTGGTTTAAGTGTTTTTCCCCCTTTATACAAACCAAAATAAATAAATACACTCTTGTTCAAAATGTTACATTGTTGTGAAAGACGTGTAATTACATTTGACCTAGGATGATAAATTAATAACCATAAATAATCTCAGTCGAAATATTTTTAACATTTGAAAATTTTGGTTGAGATCTTTTTTGACCACTTATGTTCTCTAAACCAGGTCTGATATTAAGTTACTTCTCTTTTATACAACCCAATCAACGGTGTTAAGTTCAAATACATATTTTAGAGGGGTAACAAGCCTGTAAATCAAGAAAAACTTGCACTTCGCAACCTCTGTGTAGGAATCTTGCCACCCCAAGTCGTTTGCTTGCTTTTTTACTGGCCACAGTCTTTGAATCTACGTCTGGTAAGTGCCCTCGCACAATGTCATAGTCGAGGTTTTTAACAACCCAGAATTATTGTATAGGTTAACTATCAGTGCAAGCTGATGTGAACTAAGGGAAAATCTATTGTTTCCAGTATATACTTTTTATCACTGGTTACTCATTCACAATGCTCAGTTCTCAGATCCAAGACGTCATGCCCTGACCTGTGAAATTTTGTGCATCAGCAGTTTAAAAAAAGCTCCTGGGCTTCTGTAAAATGAACTGTATTGTGCTCAATATGGAGATTCCTTGTTTAGTCAATCCTAAATTTGACCTCTAGTATATCAAGATCATATTAAAATAAAAATTAGCATGGGAGAATCAGAAAAGATTGCTGAATACAGTTTAGATAGCATTATGGCAGAATGCTGACAGAGATTTGGGTGGAAGAGGCCCGACACAACTACCTGGATCTGATCACAAATGGCCTAAGGCTTTTTGTGTTTGTGGAGCACTTTGGAAAAATTGTGTCCAGACTCTCAGTTATCACAGTAGTAATCTTCAAGCCTCTTTTCCTGCAAGTGAAGCACTTTCTTCAGAGAGAAGCAATGTTTTTTAAGCCAGGAAGGGTGTTTGTGTGTGTTGTCTCTATACACTCCATCCGTCTGCTTTAGCGCTCAGAAACTTCCGGACTTTACCAACACACCACTAAGTAGTAAATCAGACTTTGTACTGTAAAATTGGATCCATCCAGAAAAAAAAACAAGAATTCACTCACTCAAAAACACAGTGGTCAAGTTGAAGTTATTCCTATTTACACACACAAACACACACACACACACACACACACGTTTGTGTTCTGTATCATCAGCAGCACGGCATCACCAACTGCCCCATACCCACTGGGCACATGCTTACATTGGCACACACTGAATCATGTGTACACACTGCTGCTACCCGTGTCATCCAAAACACATATCCACACAACACGACACACAAAGAGACGCTCTGTGTCTGTGTGCACTCACTGACACAGTACTAAACAACACTCACAGCCTTCACCAGAGCACGCATAATAGCACAGTTCTACACTACACAGACACTGTACCTCTTGACATAGTTTAGTTCAATGTGTGTCAATGTTTATACCACTATATATGGTATACGTCTAAGTGTAGAGCTCAAAGACAATCACTTAACGACTGGCTATATAAAGTATGTTGTGAGGCACAGCAGCTGATGGTTGATAAGTGACTGTGTGTGTCTGTGATTGCCTGGGCATGACTGGATTTGGTCTTCTGCACACTGAAGATAAATTTGATTTAATAGGCAGCATACTGTCACTACTGTATACACTCACAACCACATACAGATTAACAGAGTATAAGCTCACAAAAACACATGTTATATGAGATGTTGATCTGACAGATGTTAAGGAACTCTGTCAAGCAGACAGAGTAATATTAAGACAGGGCAGCACGCTTTGTCCAAAAAGTTTGCGATTATACATCAATAAAACTGTACAATAATAATAAATGTTATAATTGTATTATTATTATTATTATTAAAAAATATATATTTATAATTGTCCCATTATAATTTATACACTATTATTATACTAAATAAAAATAAACACAATTAGAAATGTAATACTTTGAGATTTCACTGGAAAAAAAAATTGTATTTAAGAAAATAATTAACTATTGAGCATAGAACAGCATTTGCAGAAGTCTGCTCAGACTCAAGAGACACTGAAAATACTAGATAATGAACTGTAAATAAAAGTTTTGTGCTTCATTCTAACACATACAGCACTAAAATAATTCAACCTCAGCCTTTGCGATTTAATAATCACAATATTGTTATTTCTATTTTATTTTTGACTAATCGTGCAGATTACTAAGGTAACTGCCTATGCAGGCAAGTAGATCATAGGTTCTGGAGCAGCTATTTGTCAGAGAACGAGATATAGACAGACAGAGATGTGGCAGGCCGGCTGGCACAGAAGCATTGGGGGAAATAAATAAACCAAAGGAGGCTAATGAGGTGTTTTACACACATTCATATAGAGTCTCAGTGTGCAGGGCAGGACACACACAGTCAGGCTGGCAGCTAAAAGGTCTGTGTGGTCAGCTCATGGGGAAAGCCTTGGCTCTTATTACCCAATCAGGAGAGAAATTTAGTTGTGTAGCAGGTAGAGAAAGTTTCCTTGTAGAACCAGACCAACCATTCCTACTGCTGTGAAACAAACAAAACACACACATACAACTCACAGTGTGTGAAGCTTTGTATGGACACTATTCCATCATTCCAGCTATGTGGTTTCTACCTGGAAATACCAGTCAGGACGGGGGGGAAAAAAACACACTTTTAAAACGGGTTAGTGTGGTCTGTGTCAAGAAAGAATTGGGCAACAGAGAGCTCCATATCTTTGCACATCACCTGGTGTTTGGTGTGCGTGTACGTGGGTTCCCCCTTAAACAAAGGTTCACTTCCACAACATGACCTACTTTCAGACCAACAGGAATTAAGTCAAATTGCCACAACATGCCTTTGAGTAAACCACAGCAAGTCTGAGCCTGAGAAAGAGAGGGAGATGGAAAAGCTAAAAATCATCAAAACAAAGGGTTAGTGTCTGTGTCAGAGTCTTGACTAAAATGAGTCTTAAAGAGCAATTACGGAATTAGCTTGTTGAAGTAGAACTCCCCCTATCCTTATCAACCTCAAGCTACTGTTGTGGAGTAACCTGCCGTAAGCAACACTTAAGTTGACAAGTTTTTAGTAGCATGACAACAGCTCAGCTGTTTGCGTTTTGATCGATGAGATTATTAAAATGCAATATTTTGATATATTTAAAATGTATTTATTATTTGAATTTTTATTTTAAAATGTTATTTATTCCTGTCATGGCAAAGCTGAATTTTCAGCAAAAATGAAAAAAACATTTCTTATTATCAATATTGCAAACAGATGTGTAGCTTAATATTTTTGTGAAAACCATGATATATTTTTGGGATTCTTTTATGAATAGAAAGTTGAAAATAACAGCATTTAAGTAAGTCTTTACTTTCATGTTTGATCAATGTATTGTGTCCTTGTTGAATAAAAAGAAAAAGTACTGATCTCAAACATTTTGAATAGTGTATATGTACATTATATAAATAATAATAGTAAATAAAATATATGAATACATTAATTAAACTGATAGCTTCAGTACAATTAGGAAATGTTTGTTCTTAGCTGGTAGTGTAATCTAAATGAGTAGTTCGCTTTAAAAAAAAAAAAAAACTTGCTGATAATTTACTCACCCCCCATGTCATCCAAGATGTCCATGTCATTATTTCCTCAGTCGAAAAGAAATTAAGGTTTTTGATTAAAACATTCCAGGATTTTTCTCCATATATTGGACTTCAATGGGAACCCAAACGGTTCAAGGTCCAAACGAGAGTTTCAGTGCAGCTTCAGAGGGCTTTAAACGACACCAGACGATGAATAAGGGTCTTATCTAGCGAAACAATCGGTCATTTAAAAAATAAATAAAAAGTTTACGTTTTTATAAGCACAAATGCTCGCCTCGCTCTGTTCCGTGATGAGCGTTCGTGACTCTCCTGTTCAAAATCGTTCATCAAAATGAACAAATCTTTTTTCGAGTCATGACTCGAAGGGTCCTAGATAAGAGCCTTATTCATTGTCTGGTGTCGTATAAAGCCTTTTGAAGCTGCACTGAAACTCTCATTTGGACCTTGAACCGTTTGGTTCCCAATGAAGTCTATTACATGGAGAAAATCCTGGAATGTTTTCATCAAAAACCTTGATTTCTTTTCGACTGAAGAAAGAAGGACGTGGACATCTTGGATGACATGGGGGCGAGTAAATTATCAGCAATCGTTTTTTGTTTTTTAAAGTGAACTACTCCTTTAACTGTTGCATGACTTCTTATTACTCATATTAATGGTTAATATTGTCTAATGTTTAAATCTACCAAGAGAAACATTCAGCCTGATGTTTTCTGTTATTCCTTCACAACTGATGCTCAAGCTAAGACCCAATAACACACCACACACTTGTGTTGCTAATAGGGACTCTGTCAGGCAAATGGAGTAAAGGGTAGCGTCTCTGTAGGAATGGCTAAAAAGAAACATTGCAGCATGGTTACTTTGTTCTTTGTAAAATGGGGGTTTATACATTCAACACACTCAGTAGAGGATGTTTTCTTAACTCATTGTTATCAGGGATGCTCTTATAAAAGCAGAGAGGGATAGAGGAAGAGTGCTGAGCAAATGTGGAAGCCTAAAACGGCCCAGTCAGCTCTGTAGAGATATCTGAGGAAACGAAACCGATATCAAACCTTAAGTCGAACTTGGGAATGTCTAGGGCATTTGAGAATGCCTCAGACTAAACCGGAGAAAAGAAATAGAGAAGAGAAAGTAACAGACAGCTTCAAATAGCATATGGACTTCACATCTGTCAGAAAGGAAGAGGCTGGCAGTGAAGGGGAAACCAAGGGCCTCATTTGATGCCGTTTAGGAGAATAGTCCTTCACTGTGGATTATTGCATGTGCTCAGATATTCATTCTGTCTAAGTATGAATAGGCCACAACATTCATGCCTCACTCACAATAGCCTTCAGTGTTGCCTCTGGTTAAAAACGGTGACCTTTCCCCTCTCTTGGGTTGAGGGGAGAAAGCGAGGGCCCATCGCCAACTTGGCCTCTAATACAGGGTTACGTGCCTTTGGAAGAGAGGTTAGTTGGGTGACAGTGTTTATGGAAATTAGTGAGAGGATATGAGGAAGATAAAGAACCAGAAAGAACAGAGAAGAGACTGAAAGACAACGACAGGCAGTAATAGCATTATGGCATTATGGTAAAAGCATTATGTGTGTCCACCAAAGCGTTTTTCCACGCGCCTGGTATATGTTTTCAACTGTTCTCAATGGGAGCGGCGAGTTTTTTTAAACGCCATGAGCGTAACGAGGCGCTGAGCGTTTTTTTTTTTTTTTTTTTTTCACACTGAAGCGCCCAGCATTTTTTACTGGTCGCCGAGAGTTGAAAAATGTTCAACTTTGGATAAAACGCAGTGCTCATCACTGTCACTTTTTACCCACCCGTCCAATCACAGTGAAGGAGGATAACTCCGCATCCGCATAACTAAATAAAACAGTTCAACTTGCGTTGAGCACCAAAACAAACATGTTTTCCTCGCACATGGAATGCAAAACACCTCCCAGAAAATTCCCACGATTATCCATATCGTCCCTCTTCCCATTAACCGAATCTCCCACCAGCCAGCAGCTACTCCAATGTCCCCATTTCCTTTCCACGAAACTTTCGAGAATGGCACAAGACCAACAACACTAAATACATAAAGCAAATGACCTACTTGGCCCGCTTGACACTTCCTTCAGCCCCATTAGCCTCGGATTAAAGCCTCCTTTGACAGACAACACCCTCTGCCCTGATTTGTCGCAACGTCCTTTGATATATCATTCACAAAGTCAGAATGTGGAGACCTATTTTTGAACTCAATTCATAGTGAGATCAGATTCCCACCGCATGAGCTTTATCTTGAGCCTTTGTTGGCGGCTATCTTAAGTTTGAGCTAATTAAAAGGGCAGGGATATTAATGTAAATATAAACTCAAATAGCAGGAATTTAATAGTAAAAGAATCATATTCATAAATCCCACACTAAAAGAACACTAGCACTGAAGAGGACTAAATCACGATTACTAAATAAACACAGCCGAACCCCACAGTGCTGATTTAGGTGGGACAGTACAGCCAGGTTTTGTTCTGTGCTCAGCCATGTATTAACCAGCTTTAGCTTTAGTAAGATTTACACAGGGCAGGGTGTGGAGCGGGATACTGGATTAAACAAGAAGATGGATAAAACAGAGAAAATAATTTATAAAAGTAGAGTTAGACATAAAGAATAAAGCAAAATTAGACATATTTGGATTTGTACTTAGAAAAAAAAAAGAAAAAATGCTGTCACGATTCCTCGATTAAATTCGAGAACTCGATATCGAAAAATCCTTGATTGCAATTTTTCAGTGTTGATTAAACTGCAAAACACCGGAATTGGCACATTGCACAGAGAAGAAATTTGAGAACCATTTTTAAAGACTGCACGATATAATAAAACCACTTAAAAATCATAATATAACATACTGCTATTGTGAAATCACAAAGGCTGTGTTTCAGTTTAATAAATATATGCGCTGCGGGTTTCAGGGTGCAGGTTACATGTTTATCAGAGCAGCCCTGTTCAGAGTAAATTCTGTTCCACACGACCTCATCTCTGCATGTGCCATTTGTTTGGGTTTCCAATAACATGCACTGTTGCACTGTTATTTAAATGCGTGGAGAATGTCTCAGCAGCTCGGATAACAAACTCCATCTCTGCATATGCTGCGAGTTTGGGTTTCTTATAATGTTCATCTGAATGCAATTTTAAAAATATTCTTTTAATTAAGAATATGTTGTTTTTCAGCAAGGGAATGCTAATTCCATGCAAGTAAGTAACAGGTGATTCTGGACATAGTGCGCAGTGGAATTCTGTATCATACATTTCAGAATTGAGAGAGAATCCATCAAAATAATTCAACACAATAGCGTGCAAAATGTTCTCTAAACCTTTAGAATGACTGGTTCCTGTCTGAGGTCAGTACCACAGCTGAGCATGACTTTCAGTTGTTTTCTTTATTTTTCTCAAAATCCCCTCATTGGACTGTGCCAACCCCAGCTGCATGTCATAATGAGTCCGTTGGTTTCTTAGCAACCCTGGGTGGCCCACTACCCTACATCCCTGAGAACAGAGACGCTTTGAGATGCAAACGAGAAACGCGGAGCACTGACAGAACCGCAGACAATCCAAACACGTATGGAGAGAGGGCAGGGGGTGAACACATTCGTCTTCATTTTGTAATGGTTTAAGACAAGCGTTTCCTTCTATTAGCTCATAGGTTTACAATGGCCATTCTGTAGCACCAAGTGATGAAAGAAATAACTGAATTTCGTTATTAGTTGTGCTTGTGGTTCACTGTCCCTCGAACATACATGGAACAGAAACTATCGTTTTAGTTTATGACTTAAACAACTGTTGAAGCATCTCAAGGTCCTGGAGTGGCCTAGCCAGTCTCTAGACCTGAACCCAATAGAAAAAATTTGGAGGGAGCTGAAAGTCCGTATTGTCCCAGCGACAGCCCCGAAACCTGATGGATTTGGAGAAGGTCTGTATGGAGGAGTGGGCCAAAATCCCAGCTGCAGTGTGTGTCAAGAACTACAGGAAATGCATGATCTGCAGAATCAGCAGTGTTTTAAATACTTGTTCTCCCCACTGTATATATTTATATTAAAAAGTATGGGCCAGATCATTTGAGATTTAAAGGGATACTCCACTTTTTTTTGGAAATAGGCTCATTTTACAACTCCCCCAGAGTTAAACAGTTGAGTTTTACTTTTTTCCAATCCATTCAGACAATTTTCTGATATTTAGAAGAATATCAGTAACCAGACAGTTTCTGGTCTCATTGACTTCCATAGTATATTTTTTTCCTACTATGGAAGTCAATGAGACCAGAAACTGTCTGGTTACTGATATTCTTCTAAATATCAGAAAATCGACTGTATGGATTCGAAAACAGTAAAACCCAAATGTTTAACCCTGATGGAGTTGTAAAATGAGCCTATTTCCAAAAAAAGTGGAGTATCCCTTTAAGAATTAAAATTAAATGCCACTTTGAAAGCATAAACATAACTACAGCAGGAAATGTTTCAGTACATTACAATTGTCAAAGTCACAACATTTTTTTTTTTATGTTGCTCTGGTCAATATGGTAATCAGTTGATCATGTCAACAAACAGCTTTTATTAGGGCTACTGATAGGACTGGAAATTGTGTCTCATGTGTTTACATTATTTCAAACATTTATCTAAAGTATTATTAATTTCTTTAAGGGTAAAACTTCTTAAACGTGGGAATAAAAAGTACTGAGGGCACAACTTTAATACTGGCAAACTCCACCTACCCAGAAAACGTGGTTAACTGTGCAGATGACTGCCAGATTAACTCATCTGGCTTCAAATGCTGAGCAAGTAAACACACTAAGATGAATTAAATCAATGGTGGAATTATGTAAACAATTATTACAAATTATTTAGTGACAGATTTAAATGGAATTGTTGGTCATTCTACAAACCAAACACATCCATTCCACAGCTGTAAAGATGCGGGTGTACAATTAAGACTGAAATGTGTAGGAAACCTTTTAGGCTGAACATACCATGTCTAGCTCTTGAGAGACTTGCCGCTTGCGTAGTTCCTCCATCCGATCGCTGACGTCACTGAAGTACGTGTTGTAGTACTCTGAGTACTCCTGTGCCAGGTCATCTATATTACCCAGAGAGCCATCCTGCACAAACAGATATATAAGTTAGACAAACTTTGATGACTTTTAATTAAAAAAAGAAAAATTAAAAAGAGAATTTTAAATCACAAGTTTGAAATAAATTCCATCATTCATTATTAAGCCTCCCTTCCCTCACAGCCTCAGAAACAAAAACAACACAAGTGGAGCTGTAAGAGTTTCATTAAAAACCTGTCACTGGAATGCGATTTTAATTACGATCACAAGAACGCCGCCAGCCATCAAGGACTTAACACACTCAGAAGAGAATTTTTACACATTTTACACATCTGCTGCGACAAGCTGCCTGCAACAGTCACACACAAGCTGAACTAAACATCTAGCCCTCACATTCCATTATTTTCACTCCACATACAAAACTCTGGGCTGCGGTCATTGGATTTTTGCAGAGCTTTGTGAATTTGTAAAGTTATAATTTCCAAGCTATTGGTTTACAGTGAATTTGTCAGTGTGTTGAGAGATAAGGGCCAAGGACAGCCCAATCTCATAAAGCACTCAGTAATGGTACAAATTGTATGCAATCATTTTCACTGAAAAAAGTATATGTATAATATGTAATTATTTTTATATGATAATTATTTAATGTAATATTAAATAAAGTAATAACATCTTTGTTTACAACAAAATTTATTTTTTATTTTTTATAAAGAAAATAGAAGTCAACCCAATACAATGAGAGAAAATCACTTGCATATGCGACCAAATTTCACGACAGGTGACTAAAAATGTATTTAATTAGCCAATGGCTATTAAATTGTACTATTATAGTCACCTGTAATTGAGTTAAGAGACAAAAAATAAGTTTAGCGCAAAAGCCGCAATTATAAGTTCATTGCCTGCTGAGCCTTTATGCACCCTGTACATTTTTTCTCACACATACGCACTCAAAGTGAGAGAAAGAGAAGCCCGCTGACTAAACTTTCACTGCCACAATCGGATCAGTGCTGCGTCTTCATTAAAGTTTATCATTTGCATGTGTTTTAGGCATGCTGTTAGAATTTTTACGTGTGAAAACTGAACATCCGAAGCACGTTAATACTAATCTCTTTCAGGTCTTGCACAGACAATTTCACACAAAATTGTAGAAATCCATCTTGGCGAGTATCCATGTACACTACAGTACCATTAATCAAACAACAGATTCGCTGCAATAATTGACTGACTAACTTTTGTAACTTCCACAAGGATTCATCTCTATTTCATTTAAGACAGTGACAACTATGCAGTCCTATTTTACATTTGATTAGCGTACTTTATTTAAGCCTGGAAAGCACTGCTTATTTAATTAGCATCTTTGTTCTATTGAAATTTATATTTATACTCTATATTTATGTAGAATTTTCTTCGTTTGCATTGTTCTTGCATTCCATGCAAGAAGTCTGGCGAGTAAAATAAATAAAAAATGAAAACTAGCCAAGGGCGACTCTAGCTTCAGCGTGTCCAAAGAGGGTTGTAAGATTTATATATATAAAATAAAAAAATATCACACAAAAAAGCCCTTACTGACCAGCCCTCCTCACAACCTTCTCTGACATCTGTAACCGTCTTGATGTGAGTGCGGATATTCATTTGTGAATGCATTATATTTTTCTACAAGCTTGTGACACACGTAACAGCGAATTACCTCAGACAGCTGCAAAAAAAGCACATAAAACGGGAAGGTCCTTCACTCAAAACCAGAGATTAGCTTCTTTAGAAAACAATCAATACCCCAGCAGCTGCAGGTGGCATGGTTTCTTTTCCTAAATGGAAGAGTGTGTTACATTTAAGACCGTGTTTGTTGTATTTCAGTTCTGGGCTAGGCTGGATGCTGCTATACTAGATGCCCTTTAGAGTCCTGGTGAATGAAGTCAAGCACAAAGGACTTCTTCCTGCTCAGGACCATGCTGACAAACACATACATCCTGTCATTGTATGGCCCAGGGCTGGGAAAACCATGCAGGGCCTCATACTGATTGGCAAAATTTGAATACAGACATGGACTTTTGCAATTAGGGCTGTGCTAAAATCTATAAGAACAGTGCTGAAAATAAATTGGGAGTAATAAATAAATCCAATCCGTTCCAAAAGAGCACCAAACAGATGATCTCAGAATACTGACTCCCAACGGAACGCAGCTCTCTATGAGAAATTCCAGCTTTTGCATTCCAATATGCTGACCTTCACAGTACCTCCAGCTTTTAGACAAAACATGATGTGAATATGTGAGATATATGTTGTTGGATGCACAATAAAACAATTTCTGTCTGATTGTTTTAACCAACAAAGACACATTCTCTTTACTGAAAATCATTTGATAAAGAGAGATCCTAAGACTAAATAAAAACTTTACAAGAGCAACTAGGCCAAAGGCTTTTAGCTGTTGCCATTAGACAGATTTTCTCAAGTACATGCTGTTGGTTGGGTGGTGAGTCAAGCAACTTGCTTTAATGACAGGTCAAAGTCTGTGCAGAGCTCTGAGTGATGGGTGGAAGGGCCAAAACTTTCATCCAAGAACATATTCCAATCTTAAAATGGACTCACAGCTTATAATTTTATTATATAGAAGGCAAAAACAAGCATAAATTAAAGAAAAAAAAATATGCACAAAGGCAGACATTTTTTCTTACTTCTTATTTACAGAACTATAAAAATAAATAAACATTTTAACTAACCAAACCTGTAATTTGTGTAACAATAACAACCAAGGAGGAAATATAATGCATCTAAAGCTTTAAATATATATAAAAAAAAATATGTAAAAACAAAACACACTCACGCTGAATGTATGTTTGTATGCATGTATATATGTACACTGACCTAAACGATTATTAGGAACACCCCCAGTTTAATTTCTCTTTAATGCAATTATCTAATCAACCAATCACATGGCAGTTGCTTCAATGCATTTAGGGGTGTGGTCCTGGTCAAGACAATCTCCTGAACTCCAAACTGGAGCCAAAGGGGGTCAAACACAGTAGTATGGTGTTCCTAATAATCCTTTAGATAAGTGTGTGTGTATTACTATATTTTAAATATAATTTGTAAGATCCCAATAAGCTTCACATATTTTTATTTGAAAGGGTTTAAACAATGCTTTTCATGCTTGAAAAACATTGAACCATAAACAATTATTGTACATGCAGCTTGGGTTGTTGCTCCAAATTCGCAAGCCTTTCGTTTGAGTCAAAACTAATCCATGTTAAATGACTGAGTGGTTTAGGCCACATTTTTTGAGGAGATACAATTGCTTTATAAGATGGAGAGCTTTGATTTTGGCTTTTATTTACATATAGCCTAAACATTCATCAACGCACACATCTTATATGGTAAATGGATGCTCAAGCATGTTTGCTTGACTTATGAGAACCAATGAGGTTTATTCTTGTGTGTTTAAATTTTTTGGGTGGACTAACAATATCAAAGCAGTATCAAAGGTGCAAGTTGTATGTTTATTTCTTGGAAATACACATTTGACAGTAAAGCACCGATCTTGAATTAGGATAAAGACTTTTTGATGTTTTTTTTCATATGCAACAGAAATGGCGGCTCTTATCAGTTGGGCAATGATGTTGTCCCACCAGTGCAAGCTCTAACAAAATTTAGTCGAACGGACTGCAAAATGCAACCATTTGGTTGAAGTCTGGAGCCCAGCTTAATTGTTAATTGTCCTTGGCTGATTGTCCTCGCAGTGCCAAAACACATTTAAACATAATCCCCCCAGATGTGTTTGAGAATTTGCAATTGGGGGGCAACATCTCACAGCAAGAACTGGCCAATCTTGTGCGGTCCATGAGCATGAGATGCACTGTACTACTTAAAGCAGCTGGTGGGCACACCAGATGCTGACAGTTTTGAATCTTTATGTTCATACAGATATTTACACGTTAAGAAATTTGCTCAGAAACTGAGAAATGAGGAAGAGGCCATCTATCTTCATTCTATCTTCAGATTGGAACTGAGTCCCAGCACTGAGAGAAGCAGTGGCCCTTAATCTGAATTAGTTCAGTTCCATCTGTACAGCACATGCCTTCCATATTCGTATCATTCCACACATTCCAGGCCTCCAGTGAGGTAAAGCTGCAATACTTTAGTCTTAAAGTGAGTGAGTGTGGGTCTGCTGCTTCCAGCTGGGCATTTAACTGAAGGGCTAATTCAAAAGCTCATGCATCTTCTGTCTGTATCTATAAGAGGATGTAGATGACAGAAAATGTTTGCCACGTAGAGAACTCTAAAAAAGATGAGAGGGAGTGAGTCTTATTTAGCTGACATGAATCACTGTTGGAGCACACAAACAGCACCACCCAAACTCTGCTGTCCAGACAGAAAAGCCAAACATTTAAAGACCCCAAAGCTATCCCTTTGACGGTAACTGGAGCTCTATGGTGAACCATTTCCAAATACAAACTTCATACAGTCAGTAGATACTAACCTTAATCCAACACAACACAGTGTGTTGCTGTTTTACTGTCCACAACTAGTAATGTATATCTATCTGAACTACCTTTTTTTAACCAATTAAGCTTTGAAAAATTCAAAGAAATGGCTTACCCAAACTGAAACAGAAACATGAATTGAAACATGAAATTATGAATCCTTTGTACTAAAAGCACAAGTATGATCTCATTTGAAAGCTGACACCTGGCAGTTTATTGTAAATGTAGAATGAATTAGTCATATTGAAAAACACAATTATAAATGGCTTCAAAGTTTTGTATAATTCGAAATTTATTTTTATGAAACATCTACATGAGAATAAAATTGAAGTTGATATTGTATGAATCTAGAAATGCACTGAAGCTAAAGCCACATGTCTGACCATGTTATATTTAAAATTTGAAGATGATATAAGTCTAAAAATAAGACTGCTCCTAAGAATAAGATAAGTCCAGCTAGAAACTACATTCATTGGTTGATATATTAATCACTACTAAAATGTTTAGTCTTTTGGGTTGACTAGTTGGTAAAAGGAAGTAAGATTTCCATCACTGTAGCACACAACAGGA